AAAAGGGGCGGGGATAAAGAAAAAGGAGCGGGGCCAGCACAAACCACGCCCACTTTTCAGAAAACCCCACCCTGTATGCAAATTTCCCCTCCATTTATTCAAAGCCCCGCCCCTTTTTTCCTCTCTCCCAATAGCTGGAGCGCGTCTGCCGAAGCCACGCCCCCCCCGGGCTCCGCCCCAACCCTCGGCCAATCCTGCGCTGGTATTTGACCGAGATCGGCCACGCCCCTCCAGGTGGGCGGGGCTTAAACCTAAAGGGGGCGGAGCTTGGTTAAAAGGGGCGGGGCTTTTAAAAGGGGGCGGGGTTTTGGTTTGGTGGGAGGAGCCAATGGGGTTTAACGCGAAGCCACGCCCACAGAGCCGGTGCCACGTCCACTTCCTGTCTCGCCGGTCCCGTGAGTAGCCACGCCCCCTTTTCCCGTTAAGCCACGCCCCCTTCCCAATTAATTCCTTAACCAATTCCTTAATTAATTCCGTCATTAATTTTTAAATTAATTAATGATTAATTTATTCAGGGTGAGGCACCGCCCCCTCCGCCGCAGGCTCCGCCCCCTCCGCTTCTCCCCCTACGGTAAACGACGAAGCCCCGCCCCCCTCATTAGCATAGAACAAACCATTGCCGTTCCAGGCAGCCAATGAGGATTCAGGAGGGCATTTTGGGAGCCAGTCACAGCGCGGTGGGGTTGGAAAGGGGCGTGGTTTGTTTTGTGACGTCACAGAGCCCTAAAAAGGCGAATTTTGGGGGAAAATCCCGCGTTTTCCGCACTTTTCCCGCACGGGGGGGGGGTGGGGCGGATCCGCGCGCTTTTTTTTGATATTTAACCTCCCAATCGCAGCGCGCCGCATTCAAATAGGGGCGGGGCCTTCTCCGTGACGTCACCACGCGTTCAAACCGCAGATTTTGTGTTTAAATACCTCAATTTTGGGGCTTTTCTCCTTTTTTCCCCCCCCCTCCGCCAAAATGGCGCCGCCCACGAAAGGCGGGCGGAAGCCGCTTTTGATTGACAGCTCCCCCAACCAATCGCGAGCGCGGAGAACCCGGAAGTTCTTTGCGAACTACAAACGCCGCCATTTTTGACGCGGGCAAAGGGCGGGCGCTGCTTTGTGATTAGCTGGAAGGAACCGGAAGCGCTTCGGCCGCCATTTTGTTTTTGGGCACTGAGGGCTCCGCGCGCTCCCGCTGAAAGCACCGGAGCCTCCGCCACGATGCTGATCAAAGTCAAGGTTTTTTTGGGGCGAAAAACGCGGATTTCGGGCAAATTCGGCCCCGCGGGTGGGAGGGGGGAGGATTTGGGTGAAAACGCGCGGATTTTGGGGTTTTTTTSGGGTTTTTTTTCTGAGCGGGAGGCGTAGAGTTTGGTGAGGGGCGGGCGCGGGGCATTGTGGGATGGAGGAGGACCGGGAAAATGGCGGCTCCCACAGACGCTGACGGGGAAAGAAATCGAGATCGACATCGAACCCACGGACAAGGTGAGAAAAATCAATTTAAATCAGTTTAAAAATAAATTTAATTAAGTTTAAAGTGGTTTGGGGTGGGTTTGGGGTGGGGGGAGGGTCCCAGTTTATCCCAGTTCAATCCCAGTTCAATCCCAGTAAGGCCCTGAAAATTCTGGGAAAAAAAGGCCAAAAATAAATTTAAAAATATTTTTTAAATAATTTTTGCGCAAAAAAAAAAAATTAGGAAAAAATCGGGGGAAAAAAGCCCCCGAAAATACGAAAAAATGGGAAAAATGGCCCCAAAAAATTCGGAGAAAAAAAAGGGAAAAAAAGCAAAAAACACCAAAAGGGGAAAATGTACCCCAAAAAATTGGGAAAAAAAAGTCCAAAATATCTATTTAAAGATGGCAAAATGTTCTAAAAAATTGGGAAAAAAGGAAAAAAAAAACTGTGAAACATTTTTAAAAATGGCAAAAAAGCCCCTAAAAAAATTGGGGAAAAAAGGGGGAAAAAAAGGGTAAAAGAAAAAATCTGTAAAATTTTTTTAAAAAATCCTGAAAATTTCCTGAAAGTTCCTAGAATCTCCCAGGTGTGCCTAGATATCCCAAATCCTCAAAAATTCAGGGGAAAAGGTCAAAAAAATTTTTTAAAATGGCAAAAACAAGCCCAAAARCACTGGAGAGAAAAAGCCCCAAATAATCGGAAAAAAGGCAAAAAAGTTCCAAA